TTTGCGCCACATTTCGCACTATTTACGCATCATCACGGCGGTATCACATCACATGCTTCACACTTTGTAGCGAGTGAGTTAATATTTAACATCGACAATATTTCAGCCATATCGTGACAAGAACAAATTTGACTTTGAAATGGAATACGTGAATATTATAAAATCTGTCGTCAAAGGACAGTAAGACAAAGAGAATGACAGTTAAAATTAAAACTAGCATGTTAAGTTAAAAGTAATAGCTCTATCTGGTCAATACATAATATAAAAAAAGGCTATAAATCTCCAGGAACTGAAGGTAGATCACTATATTAGGGTCCATGGGGGCTTACAGTACTTTTGCTACCTGCATGCACCCTAGCTGGATTTACACCATTCCTTCAGCCATTGGTGGTTCTGATGAGATTTAGCCATAAATTAAATATCACATTAATACTGCGATTAAAAAGGTTGACAGATTTAAATTTTCTCAGGAGGACAATAATTTTAAAATGCGTTAATCCCCTTTGATGATACAGCCACTAACAATCTTAGTTACTTATTTAGTCTACCTTTTTAAAAATACCATTGTTCTGTTTACAAAACACCTTATTCAATATTTTTTCTAATAATTCAATTTCTCTTAAAGCGATACGCCTACTTTTACAAAAACACCCTGTGTCATACCTATTTTATAGAACCGCCTCCGTGGTGTAGTGGTTAGAGCGTCCGCCCCGAGAGCAGAAGGTCGCGGTTTAGATCCCCGACTGCGTCATACCAAAAGACGTTAAAATATGGTACTTGTTGGTCCCTGCCTGGCGTTCGGCATTAATGGGTACAACAAGGACTGGTCGGCTCGGAGTCAGTATAATGTGTGTGAGCTAGTGGGCTAGCACTATCAAACCAGTTTCAGTCTGGGCTAGTACAAGCAGCCGCACACATACACACGCATGCACGTCGTCATATGAGCGAAATATTCTCAAGCACGACGTTAAACCCAATTTTTACCTCACCTCACCTCACCTCACCTATTTGATAGGTTTTTTTTGCCATAAACACATGTTCCTCATGCAGGGGGAATCGCTCAGTGATCTCGTTTAGCGGACTTTTCTGAGACTAGGAAAGGGATAATGTCACTTGCACTTCCCACGTTAAACGAAAACTTCCCCTTTACCATTCTGGTTGCTTTTCCACATCATTAAACACGGGGTATGGAATCATATTTTTATTATTTTTATTGTTTTTAAAAAACATTGTGTAAACATTATAAAAAATCAACAAAAGACATTCAGGTTACGATTTACAAACAATCCGTGACATGAAGACCAAAACTTATTTAAGGCGCTGATATTGCACTCCTTTAGAGAAGAACACGTAGTTATTACACAGTAGTGTCTAATTTCATTCTGGAAAACATGAAAAGGTGGCACCCTGCCTTCTTCCAAAAATGAGGTTTTTAGAGATGATGATAATAATATTGAGTGTGTCATTATTTTTTGACATCATACTTGTCTTTTTGTTATTCTAATAATGATATGGACGAGCTCAGTGACAGTTATTCAGAAACAGTTATTCAGAAACACTTGCTCTTGATATGGTGCCAAAGAGCCTGCTTACAGCATAGATTTTGTATGGGTGTGGCCACTAGAAGGCATAGTCCACTCTGGTACCAATTTTACAGGTAGATAAGACAGTTCAAAAATCGAATTCAATGCCGTTTTTCTGAGTGGGTCTCTGACAACAACATTCACGTAAATCTCGTGGGGTTATAAAACATTGATAACATGACACTTATTTGTTGCACCTTTTATTTGAGCTGGCTTTACATGTGAGTCAGGACAGCTGCTTCCGTGTCGGTGCGTCTTGCAGCCTGCAACGGATAAGAAATAATGTTTTGCATAAATAACAAAGAAACAAAAGGTCAAACGTATAGATATATGTGATATATAGAGAATCTCACCAAAATGTCTACTGATATCAACTATATCATCACGAGCTGATAAGGTTACAAATATTTTTACTTTTATCAACGAGTGTTGTTATCATTGATATCGGGAGACACGAGGGTGAGATTCTATTTATCATCAATAACCACTCTTCATTATTTTTCAATGAAAACTGTACACCTCTGAACCCTGTACTACCATTAGACTTGTGGTGGTGGAATTGGGTTTAACGTCGTGCTGGAGAATATTTCGCTCGTGCATGCGTGTGTATGTGTATGTGCGGCTGCTTGTACTAGCCCAGACTGAAGCTGGTTATATAGTGCTAGCCCACTGAGATATCATGCCGCAGTGAAGCATGAATACCCCACTCAACCAACAAGTACCATATTTTAACGTCTTTTGGTATGACGCGGTCGGGCGGACGCTCTAACCACTACACCACGGAGGCGGTCACCATTAGACTTGCAGTGCGGCGATGTCATAGCATTGTGCCGTCATCAACTTCATGACGTCATGGCATTGTAAGGGCATTGTACAAAATCTACTGTTAAAACGATATCTCCTAGGATATATCGTATGATCTCACACAAGCAATATCTCCTGAGGAACACAGTTTTGGATGATTACTTTTTTACCATTCTATATCAGTTTCATATAATGGCAATTGACATGTGTAAGGATTTGTAAAAGAACGACGTCTTTCTAAATCGTTGACGCTGATTCCCTGGGGCAATAAGTTGAAGAATCATTCATGGCTGCTAATTATGTTTGGTGATTACTCCGGTGTATGGCATCATAAACATTGATCAAGTGAGATTAGTTTCCTTCCTATTTGCAATTTTCCTGCAATATCATGGTGGGGACACCAGAAATGGGATTCACACATTGTACACATGTGGGGAATCGGCGTGACGAGCGAACCCTTTAACCCCTAGGCTAACCTACCGCCCTCTTGAGTATACACCCTAAACTGGCTACGGGCGCTAGAGGGTTTTTTACAACCACCTCGCATAAACATTAGCCTTGAAACAGAGAAATGTGTAATAGATTCGACCTTGTGTATATTTGCAACTGACTTTGTTCGTGCTTGAGTTAGATGTACAAGGCTAAATATGGCTACCGGGAGACATAATAAAATTGCAAAGTACTTATTGTAATTTAAACAACATCGAAGATTTGTACCATGTCACCCTCATATGTCCATCCTCAAAGAACATTCGAAAGAAATACATGCCAAATAAACATTTAAATCGCCCTTCAGTACAACAATTTGTTCGCCTTAGGGCAACAGCAAACTATCAAGATTTAAAATCTGTATGTTATATTTCAAATATGCCTTCAAAGAAGAAATTAAATGTGAATCTTTTGTTTACTTGATCCTATACTGTACCATGTACACTTCGAGTATATGGGCCTATGGCCTTTCTTACAATAAACATTTGAATTATCAGTTTCGTGCTTGATGAACAGAGGCACATTTGAAGTCAGTTTTTTTTCTCTAATTGGATTATAATATTATATTATAATACTTACTTCTCCATCCGTGTTATCATCCGAATTTCGGCCATCCTGACCATCTGCTCCCTCTCCCCCACCCTGACCCTCTGCTCCCCTCCTCCAACCTGACCCTCTGCTCCCCTCCCCCACCCTGACCCTCTGCTCCCCCCCCCCACCCTGACCCTCTGCTCCCCTCCCCAACCCTGACCCTCTGCTCCCCCTCCTCCACCCTGACCCTCTGTTCCTTGTCGGCCACTGCGACCCTCTGTTCCATGTCGGCCACTGCGACCCTCTGTTCCTTGTCGGCCACTGCGACCCTCTGTTCCTTGTTGGCCACTGTGACCCTCTGTTCCATGTCGGCCATCGTGTTCCTGACCACCCGTTCCATGACGTCCACGCAGTAGTAGCTGCAGTAGAAAGGGTTGTTGTTCAACGCTGCACCCAGACATATATTCGAACCATATCACCACCGGCTTTAATAGTCAAGTCTGGACCAGACAATCCAGTGATTGCCAAAAACCCGATCCATCCATTTATTGTCATGTGAAACACTTATGTGCAATCAAAAAAGTGGCAGACAACTTCAACCCAGTCAGTCTCTGCTTCTGAAAAGCACACGATCTTGATGACTAATGCCTTTATCCAGAGTGAGTTATTTTTTTAGACCCATTCCAGCAATATCACGGCGGGGGACACCCGAAAAGGGCTTCACACATTGTACCCATATGGGGAGTCGAACCCGGGTCTTCGACGTGACGAGCGAACACTTGAACAACACCACCACGCCACTTTTATCCAAGTCTTAAGTGCACACATACAAACATGTTGTTTTAATAGATACGGACTGTTGTTGTTTGAATTCTTGTGTGATCTACCCGTGAAGGTCCAGGTTAGAATGTGCCTTCAGTAACCCATGCTTGTCGTAAGAGGCGACTAACGGCATCGGGTGGTCAGACTCGTTGACTTGGTTGACATATGTCCTCGGTTCCCAATTGCGCAGATCGATGCTCATGCTGTTGATCACTGGAATGTCTGGTCCAGACTCGATTATTTACAGTCCGCCGCCATATAGCTGGAGTATTGCTGAGTGTGGCGTAAAACTAAACTAACTCTCTCTTGTGTGATCAATTCAGAACAAAATTGTTGTTACTGATTATTTTGTTAAGAATATGCGACGAGGAAAGAATTAAGGTTTAGCTTATCACTCATTTACTCACTCAGTTTCAATTATGTGACACGAGACAGTTCACTTATCTATACTACCCATCAAAAGTTTAGACTCACTAAAAGAATTCACTATATGATATGTATATGTTTGTGGTTACATCGAAAATGAATTCTCCCCCAATTTTGGGGAACCAACTGCAAACCATATGCAGATGATTTGCATGAGGATCATGCATCAAATTGCTGCAAAGCATGTGTAAATATCGTGCATGTGAACAGCTGCGTTTTGGTGTAACGTTTTGTTAAAAATTCGCCAATTTTCACTGAGTTTCATCATTTATTGAACTCATGACAATAATCTTTTCAACGTTACGAATTTGTTTTAAAATACATCAGGTCATGTGTAAATAGTACCTTTAAACAGTATGGAATATTTTGCAAAATCTAGTTTGGAACAGCTGACTGAAGTTAGTGGATATATTTACACTAGTGAGTCTAAATTTTTGATGGGTAGTATATTTCTATATAGCTTCAGAATGCTTTCAGGCTGCTTTTGTAATAATTAGGTACATGACGACTTCAAATGATATCGTTAAAGACTTTACCCTATACTTAGAACCAACGTGTGAATATTGGGGAGGTTGGAGTAAACGACACTGGACATGCTGGATGTTCTGTTGTGAACAAAATATGTCCTTGTTCCTTCTTTTATTGGAACAATTCAAACAGTAGCTATATATACCCCACAAGGTTATTTTTATACTTACGACACGGCTTATGGCAGCACTTGACCGTTCTCAACTCGCGATTAACACAGTCAGGGGGTGTGCAAGTATTTATACAGATCCGAGTTCGAGCCTGCTGTTGATTCCCACATCCGCACTTCACTGAACACGGACCAACATTAGACCAGGGGCACCAGGAGCCGATCACTGAATATGGAATTAAGACAAAGTGACAAACATATTTAAAACTGCAAATGTTATTTTTAGCGTCCATCCAGCATGTTCTTAACGATTGAATAGTCCCATACGTCTTTTTCTAGATGTGCCCCTGAGTCGATGGAGGGCGGGATTCTGGTAGTTGAGGGCACTGATTCCAGGAATTAAGTTCATTTTCCTGTTTCCTGTTTCCTATTCATGATCCTGTTGGTATTGACCTAAGATTGCAAAATAAATTGATTACTCTCCACGTTTTCTTGTGATCAAAACTGTTGACAAGACAACGTTACAGTTAATCCTTTTCACTGTGCCTAAGGATATACAAGGCATTGCCAGTGACGTTTAGGACATTAAACGGTTACGCCAGAGTGCGCTGTTGGTTGAGTGCTGGAACAGACAGCAATCAACGAACTTGATGAATGCTGAATCTTTCGTTGGTCTCTGCTCACAAAACACTAAACACGAGCAAAGGAATCGTCAGAGGCCGCGATCGATTGTTTGAACTTGAAATCCCCTCAGAAATGCAAGATCAAGGTGTGCCCTACGTTGAGCGATTTACAACCTGCTAAAACAATGAAACACGTAAACCATTACCTATCTGTTTTGCTTTTCTTCTGCAAATGCTCCCAAATCACTACAGGCAGGTTATTGTAACATCCATTCGGAATCCCCTCAGATGCTTCAACAGCCACTAGTATGCCTATGGTGTAAATACTTGCACATTGTCTGTTGTGTGTTCTCACTGTCTTGATAACCCAAAGCACCTAATCGCCAGCACACAAAGTTAGACGCCTAACCCACTAAGTGGCTCAACCCAACAAAAGTACTGGAATCTGTACTTTACTAAGAAAGTTGACAAATATAACAAATGTTACATTTGACTTCTTTCCAAATGACATTGTGTATTGAAAAGACTGGATTTGACGGTGTAACGGAAATTTAGATTTTTATCAGTATTTTGACTAGCGGCTAGCGTTGACTTTTTCTGTGATTATCTCCCTTGCATTACTGGTGTGCGAGTTCTATCGTAAGACAATATTGCTTGGATGACAACATCGTGTTTACGTATCTAACGAAGTTCGGAGATGTAATAAACATTCAGCACCACCCAGAAACAACTTGTGAGTACATTGATGGTGCGGGCATGCTGTATCAATACGTGCTATGAGTGGGATATTTCTGGATGAACTTTGCTGATTTGTTTCATATTTTGTGCTTATAACCGGATATGTGAAGAGACAATGAGAGACAATGAGCGATCAAAGATCAGCGATATCAAGTGGTAGTAGGAAAAGTCGAGCGAGCTCGAAGGCCAAAGCGGCAGCAGACGTGGCTGCACTGAAGGCGAGAATGAAATACGTGACCTAAGAAGAAGTGTGAGTTAGAAACACTAACATTACAGAAGGAGTTGGACATTGCTGAGGCTAGATTCGGTGTATAAGCGAAAGAGGCAGAGGACACTCTTATGTATGGCAGAGATATTGTTGTTGATCAGGTTGACACAAACAAGATAGATGGACTTGATGAAGGACTTGAATTCCCAATATGGTGCTGAAAGATACGTACAGGACTACATCAAGAAGAACCCATTGTTGATAAACGAGCCAACCGAAATGTCGATTCCACCTGCATGTGACAGATATAGAAACAGTGCTGATTTCAAGGAAGGTAACTCGAAACCAACACCCACAGTAAGACATTCAACCAGACTTGATGCGTCCGCTGCAGAGCCACAAAAAAATGCTGTGGACAGCATTCTTAACCTGCCTAATATCACTAAATCATTTGCAGAACAGATAAGCTTGGGAAGATTGCCTACTCCTGAGCCAAGTGTATTCGTTAGTGATTCTATGACTTATGTCAATTGGAAAGTGCATTCGAGACTTTGATCGAAAATCGGGATGTTCCGCATCATAACGCATATATTATTTACAGAAGTATCTAGGAGGCCCAGCTAGAGAATGTGTAGAAAGATTCCTGCTTATTAACACGAGTGAATCTTCTGATGCGGCAAAGGCTCTATTCGACAAGAGATTTGGCAATCAGTTCATCATCGCAATCTCCTTCAGGGACAAGCTCGAGGAATGGCCCAGAATCGATCGAAAGGACGGTGCATCATTAGCTGACTATCTGGGGCAGTGTTTAATTGCCTTGCAAACCATTGGCAGTCTTAATATCTGGAATGATGAGCGAGAGAACCAGAAAATTCTAGCAAAGCTCCCTGAGTGGTTGTCATTGTCAGTATTGGTAATCCATTCAAGAGTTATTCCCCCTTGTTCACGATCATTATGGGATGTGTGCCGAAGCACATGACCAACAGTGTATCCCGTTACAGTGACGAAGAATAAAGTTTATTCTGGTCGTGACAACGGCTCAGTTATATGACAGTCATATCGTTGGGGCAGGATTGTTTCAGACTGTAGAGAAAGCAAACTTCATTTCCTCCATTTAAGGAATTTGTTTCACTTCTATCTAAGGAAGCTGACATCATGTGCGACCCTGTGACAGCATCAAAGCTGAAGACACCCAACCGGAAGACAGAATCTGACAAGCATCTTATTCTTAGGAAGCGTACAGTGCTACAAGCAGGGTCATATTCTGGATTACTGCTTCTCATTTCTTGACCTGTCATTACTGAAGCGAAAGGAATTTGTTAAGCAAAGGAATTTATGTTTTGCATGTTTGAAATCGGGACACAGGTCAAAGGCGGGGCAAATGCAGAACATGTGGCAGATACCACCCTACCCCATTTTATGGAGATACAAGGCAGCAAGAACCTCAACATCCTCAAAACAGTGAGACGAAGACGTCCATTATCTCCCACGTGAGTGGCCAAGGGGATCAGTGCCCCATGATTCTACCAGTGTGGGTTTCATACTCCGATAGACCAGAATACGAAAGACTGTTTTACGCGTTTTTGGGATACCCAATCAGATACCACTTTTGTCCTCGACAGCACATGCGAGGAATTACAACTGAATGGAATGAATGTAAAGCTCCTCTTGTCTACGATGACTACTGAAGAACAGTAGAAAAATTACTGGTCTAAAGGTCCGGGGTTTTAATAACTCAGTAACGAATGATCGACCATCAGTATATACACGGAATATCATGCCAGCAAACAGGAATCATATTCCTACCCTCAACAAAGTGAAGATGTGGCCTCATCTTAAACATTTGTTTCAAGAACTTATGCCGTTGAGTGATGTGAAAGTGGGCCTGTTAATAGGCTATAACTGTCCACGAGCGCTCACCCCAAGAGAGGTTATTCCACCAGTGAATTATGATGACCTCTATGAACAAAGAACAGTTTGGATGGGGAATAGTGGGCACTATTTAACACAAGGGGATTGATGATTCTGGACCAGTAGGTATTAGTCATCGTATCATGACATCGGTCGTCCCCAGCGAATTGTGTCCATCCATCCTGTCATCAAGTCGGGTAGATTTTCCAAATGAAATCCACATTTTGCCCAAGATTTCAGTGAAAGAAGTGATGTACCCTTGCGATATATCTCATATGATGGAGCTTGATTTTCATGAGACGAAGTGTAATGACAACTCCCTATCCCACGATGAAAGGGAATTTCTACTTTGCATGGAGAAAGGCATACACCAAGGAGAAAATAAGCATTATGAAATGCCTTTACCATTCAATGGAGGCGAACCTTATCTGCAAGCCAACAGATCTGCGGCCATGCAGCGACTCAAGCAGCTCCAAAGTAGGTTTGAGAGAGATTTGGACTATGCAGGGGAATATGAGTCGTTTATGAGCAACCTCATGAAAAATAGACATGCTGAACGTCTGCCAGCATATGATGTACGGCGTACTTGGTATATACCACATCATAGTGTCTACCATAAGAAAAAGCAGAAACTGCGAGTTGTGTTCGATTGCAGTGCCAAGCATCAGGGCGTCTCGTTGAACAATCACTTGTTGAAGGGCCCTGAGATGACTAATACACTGATTGGCGTCTTGTGTAGGTTTCGGATAGAAAGTGTTGCAGTGCAGTGTGACATTGAGCAAATGTTTTATCAATTCAGTGTGGTAGAGAAGCACAGGAGACTATCTTAGGTTCCTCTGGTGGGATAATGGTGACCTTAAAACTGATCTTGCTGATTATAGAATAACAGTTCATCTGTTTGGGGCAGCAGCATCCCCTGGATGTGCGAACTATGAACTTAAGCAGGTATCCAGGGACTATGAGGCTCAGTTTGGCTCGGCTGCGGCTAACTTTGTGCACAACGATTTCTTAGAAGCATAGATGTTGATGACAACATTCATTGTGCCTTTGTCATAGGAAAGGCAAGAGTGTGTCCACTCAAGTCAGTGACAGTCCCACGCCTTGAACTTAGAGCGGCGGTTGTGTCCATTAGAATCTGTCAGTCTCTGCAAAGGGAACTTCATTTTGAGAATGTCAAGGAAGTTTATTGGTCTGATAGTAAAGCTGTATTGGGATACATTGCAAATGACTGTACGCTATCATGTGTTTGTGGCAAAGCGGATTCAACAGATCAGGGATCACACCGATCCTAACCAGTGGAAACATGTTAAGTGCATAGATAATCCTGCT